GGAAAATTACATTAAAAGTTTATTAATGGAACTATATAGCCACAAATATATTTCCAACAAGGCTAAATTAGACAGCAAATTTTTATGCTAATTTCATTTTACTTAAAAAAGAATGTCTTTATATTTGAATTTATTTTAACGCTATAGGTTGAACTTCTCAAATCCAGGACTCTGTAGTCTGGCATGGATGTTGCTAGACCAAAGAGCCCCAGGAGTGGGAGCCAGCTGAGAGAATGCAGGATTTGCGGAGTCCTGGCTGAGCCTGCAGCAACTAGGCAGGGGAACCCTAGCATCAGTGGGGTCAGGTGACATCGGGAAGCCTCCCACCCAGCCAGGGAACCCCATTGTCAGTGGGGTTAGGCGGCTGGAGAGCCCCTGGCAGCAGTGCCAGGGAACCCCAGGAAACCCTCTGCAGCAACGGGGCTGGTGATGGCCAGGCAACCTGGGGGCGAGGAACTCTGAGAAACCCCTGAAGGTAGTGGGGCTGGTGGTGGCCAGATGGCCTTGTCTAAGGAAAACCCAGTGCACCTGGCGGGCAGCAGGGCTGGGAGCCTTGGCTGGGCCAGCTGTAGCAGGCAATCAGCAGGGCAGGGAGCTCCAGTCTAGGAACCCCTGGGAAAGGAGCCATCAGAAGGGCAGCCAGCAGGGGAACATCGACCTTCCCTGATCGGGCAAATCCTCTGGTCCAGGACTGGTCAAGTCCCAAGGGTGCTGGACCAGGGAGGTCTAAATTGTAATTGCAATAATATATGTAGGGCATTGAGCAGCTTGCTAAGAAGCAGATGCGGAGATCAGAAAAGGGATTTCCCTTGGGGAAAAGGCAGGCTTTACTTTAACTCAGTCCCTACAATAGGTCGTGAGGAAGTGCAATGGAGCAAACAATATGTAGGGTGATGGGGCAGACCATGCCTCCAGCCGTGCTGAGCCAGAGCATAGAGCAGCTGCTGCTACATACTGTTCACCAAGGTGTAATATGCACTGTCTCCATGCTATCCCAACATAAAGGAAGCACATTGCAGCCTCTTTTAAGTTTCCTAAAACAGTTGGGAGTGTGTTGGTACTAGTGTATTTTTAACTTTCAAGTGAATTAATTGCACACCAGCCATGGATAAAGAAAAACCCTAGTCTTTCATCTTTGTGTTCCTGTTCATACCTTACCTAGCACAGTCTTGATCTAGAATTGGGGCTCCTAGATGCTACTGTAATACAAACAATAATTCATAGTAATATGCTGCTAACTTAGGACAAAGAACTTTTCTTCACCTGGGGTAAAGAATAAACATTTGAAATTTGCAACCAATGTTTGTGCAGTAATTATCTCAGATCAATTGACAATTAACTCAAGAGAAAAGAAAGTCTAGTGTAGACATAACCTGTTGACATTATGAGTTCTGTATTGCTAGTGTGCTTAGATTGTTCATGATGCTTGAGCATACTGTGAATGAGTGGAGAGGCTCACTGCTCTTTTTCCTGCTCCTTGTGAACATTCATTGATCCAGTCCCAGTGCTGGGATACAAGTGCAGGTTGCTTTAGGGCTAGTACATAAGATTTAAAAAAGAGGGAGCAATGAGCATTTTTTTCCCAAATTCATGGAAGAAAAGATAAGATGTGGGGGATTTGGAGTAAGTAGGCAGCAAATTTGACCCAACACATGTAGGAACTACAACTAGTACATTGCAAGGCATGATTCCTTACTTAATCATTTCCATCCCATGGAGGGCTGCAGTCAGACCCTAAACTCACCACCGCTGATCCTAGCCTGTTGCTGGGAACTATGGTCCTCCTCTCATCTGAGTGTTAGGATGCTGAGGAAAAGGTGTTTATCCCCATGCTCTACAGCCCCATTCCTCCACTTCCATAGGTGATGCTTTACCTAAGTCCATTTCCAATGTCAGGTATCAAGGAATCAGACCCACTACAGAATGAGTGCCTGGACATACCTGGACACCTGACACTTGTCACATTGTGACAAGTTGAATCTTAATCTTCTGGCCAATCCATTGGGTCTGTGAGCTACTGTGGGAAAGGCAACCTCCACCCCTACCCCAATCAATCTGGCTGTGAGGGGAAAATTCCTTTCCAGTTGCTTAAAAGAGAGAGCAACGGTCACATCAGACAAAAAGCAAAAAACAAACAAAAAAACCCCACCCAGACCTATGTAGGCCTATGTAGCAAAACTCCAGACATTGGCAAAAGGAGAACTGAGGGCAGCTGCTTTTAATGTAGCTTGACATATCTTTAGTGCCTAAAAAGACATGATTTTACAGTGAGATAATGATGTTTAGTATCTTGCTGTAAAATCCTACTGGAGACAGGGCTCTGCAGTTTTTAGTGGGATGTAGCTAGGAGATGTCAAGTGCAGATGGGGATATATCGTTGACTTTGCTTAGCTACATCATTTTTTAAACCTATTTGTGCCTTATCCTCACTAGGAGAACAACATAACTTATACAGGTTATCTATCTTGTTAAAAAAAACACTCTGTTTGGCAGAGAAGACATAGCCAGTATCTCTTTAAACAAGACCAATACTCTGGAACAAGAAGTGATGGTGGTAGCTTTAAGGTCTGCAGTTCACTCTGGGAAAAGTAACTTGAGGGATGTGTTGTAGGCTGTGTGCCATTACACAAATCACATTCTTTAGCTGGTCCACAGGAAATTTTGATCTTCTGTAAATACTTTTAACCTAAAGGGCATCTTGACATCCAGCACCTTGATGGGAAAAGGATAACAGAGAAGAGTGATTTTATCCCTGTAGAAACCTTTCCGTTCCTGCCGTAGGTGTTGTTCATATCGATGTTCATATTTTTTAGTAAAATGTAGCAGCATTTGTAGCCAGGGGACTATTCGTGATATTTATTCACAATAAAAATGCTGAATACTTCAAATAATTTTGGTAGTAATCTGAAGGCCAAATCCTCTGCTTATATTAAATGATGCAGGTCCCTTGACTTCAATAGCAACTGTGCTTCTTTATGGATCAAGAATTTGGCCCCAGGGAGTGCATTTATGATGCTAATACAAATTGCTGTTTTCAGTGTCATAACTGATTCCATCTGGAGTTTTGTTTTGTTTTTTTATGTATAGCCTCCTTTTTTCCCTCTTTCTTTTGTAGTCAGAGCTACCTTCAAGCAGCAAGTGATGTGCCTGGGGGCCACAACCTGGATCCCTCCGCAAACTACAATTCCCCAAAGTTCCGATCAAGGAATCAGAGCTATATGAGAGCAGTGAGCACACTCAGTCAGGCCAGCTGTGTTAGTCAGGTGGGAATCTACTGTTAAAACTTTTACATATACAGGACTAAATACTAAAAAAATGGAAAATTTGTTTTTTCTTGATTTATATTGAAGGAGTGAGGATGTAAGTTGTCACAAAGTCATTCAAGCTTCAAAGCATTTAGTATGGAATGAAGATGGAATAAAGATTAAAAAGAGTCAAATTTCAAAGTATGCCAAAAAAGGGAAGAATCCAGATTTCCTTTTTAGGAAAGCCTACCTATGGATATACAAAGTGCTTTAAATGTATTGCCTTTGAGTTTCATTGGGTTCCCACTTTGTCTTGTATAGCAATAAGGCATGAATAGGAATGCTCAGCGGCTGTTCTCTGGATCATTCATAAATATGTATACCTCTTTCGTGTCACCTTTTCATCTTTCCCTCTCTAAATGAAACAAGCCTAACCCTTTTCAATGCCTCTTCGGGTGGAAGTCTCTCCATGCTTTTACAAAGATGTCATTGCCCTTGTCTGGATAGTTTCCATTTCTGTTACATCCTTGTCAAGATGGGATGACCAAATTCAGTGAGGTGTACCATCACTTTATATAATGATATTATGTTAAGCATTATTATCCGCTCATTCCTTAATATGAAATAACATCCTTGCCTTATTTTACCATCACTGTGTATGAAGTATGTGTTTTACATTGAACTGTCCATAATCATGGGTAGGACTTTTTCCTAACTCGTTAGAATAGTTCATAGGAATGTGCATATGGAAGGAATAGGAACCAATTTACCATCATTTTGCTCAATTAGATCTTACAGCAGTATCTCACTATGTCCTTTGGTTTTCACCAGCCTAAATAATTTTGTGCCATTTACATATTTTATCATTTCACTGTTCAACCTTTTCTAGCTCAGTAACATATATATTAAATAACATAGAATATAAAATCATATATTCAGTTAAAATGTTCTGAGCCTTTGCTGCTTCCTGATCCCTTTCTATGGCATTGCACTCTTCATGTTCCATCAATATGATAGGTTGAGTGGAGTTTTTTCTGTTATTTCAGTTGGTTCCCTTCCCACCCTTTAAAGCTCAGGATTGAATTGAGGGATACCGATGAACTGTATATTTAAGAAGTGCATATTTGTTCTTGTAATCTTTATTTTTAAATTATTTTGCCAGCATCAACAAACTTTAAAAAGGTAGTTAGGAATAATCTGTCATTATTGACAGACTCAAGGTGTTTGATTATGACAGATATTTCTGGGTGCCAGTGGCCCCATTCTGGGAGGGCAGAGGGGAAGAGGTTGCAGTTGCACATGCCAGGATGCGGCTTCCTTTCTTCTGACTCCCCTGTTTATCAGGGAGTGAGAGTAAAGTATTCAGCTTGTGTCACTTGCTCCTCTACCCCTTTCAAGTACCACCAGGAGAGGTATGCATTCAAGCTGCGTACTTTCCCCTTGCCTCCTGATAAAGGAAAGGAAAGGAAAGAAGAGCAAGCAATGTCCCAGTATGCATGGCTGCAGCCCCGCTACTCTCCCCAAATGGTGCCTTTGCTAGGTACCCCTGATTGTGGGTGCCCAATCTGAGATGCCTTAAAAGGTCTTGATTCTCACAAGTGCCAAATATTAACCCTTTGAATTAAGCAGGGTTAAAGTGTCTTAAACTGGGAGATTCCAAAAATTATACTCACTTTTGCAAATCATGGCCTAAGTTATCATAACTCTCTTGGTCAATCATATAAGTAAAAGATTATTTAGAATACGTTTTTTCCCAAGATTTCAGTAGTCAACTTAATTTTATTAGAAATATAAAAATGATAATTTTAGGAAGGACAAAATAATTCATTTCAGAGTGGATTTAATTTCCAAGCTTCCTTTGTAGAAAGTTAGAATGATAGCCTTTCATCATGGTCACATGTTCTGCATGAAATTTCTGTATGCTTTTATCGAAACTATGGGAAAACTTGCAGTGATTTTTTCGAAAATGAATGAGAGCTATTGATATAATATATAATAAAAAACAAATCATTCAGATGTGGAGGCTAGTGAGGTTATGATATTGACTAGATATTTATATTATTTGGTTTCTTTGATTCTGCTTTAATAAATTATTAAATAAAATACATATCATTGTCATTTACTGCTCTCTCCATTATTCAGCTTCTAATTTGTCTTTGGATGAATATCATTTCCAAATCCTGAGCCAAGTGCTACAATTAGACATGTAGTACATTCCTAATAATTATGCCAGAATGAAACATATACATTCGTGTTGAAACTACTGTCCAGTGTCAATGGGCAAAGTAAAATGAAGCTCTTTTTTAACAAGTCCAATTTATATTATCATTGGTTAAATAAAAAAGTGACATCAGTAGAGCTAGAAAGAATGATTTAAATTAGCATAATTCACTTTATTTAATGGAGCAACACCAGTTAACACCAAGTAAGGCTGTGACACATGGCATTTATATAATTTGTCAGTACAGAGTAGATTATTTTGATGGGGTTTCCCCAAGATGTCTTCTACTTCATTCCCTAAGTATACAGAAAAACTCCAGTTTTGTCCCTCACATTCTTTTATTTGACATACAGAAAAGTTACAGTTAGTTGATCAGACTCAGCCATATGGAGTGGGCACAGAGCATAGTTCACATTCAAAAGTAAAGAGACTCCCTCCCTTTTATATACATTACATTCACTTTACATTGCACCACTAATTTTGGCATTGGCATGGTTGCTTTGTAGGAACCAATACTTGTACATCATACACTTTCCATTCAGGGTGCGTCTAGACGGCAGGGGATTTTTGGGGTTTTTTTAAACGGCCGTTTTTCAAAAAAAAATTCACTTACGTCCACAATGCTGTTGCGTTCTTTCGAAAGAAAATCAAAAGAACACAGGGGTTTTTCCGACATTTGTAAACCTCATTCGATGAGGAAGAACACCTTTTCTGAAAGAGGTCTTTTGGAAAAAGGCGTGTGAGGATGCGGAAGAGAGAGTTTTTGTGAAAGAAGAGGAAAGAGGAAAAAGCACAGGTGCCCTTGTGTCCACTCCGTCCTTAGCAATCACAGCTTAAATGCAAATATCAGAGGGGTAGCCATATTAGTCTGAATCTGCAAAAGAGGCGAGGAGTCCTGTAGCACCTTATAGACTAACTGAAGTGTTGGAGCATAAGCTTTCATGGGCAAAGACCCACTTCGTCAGATGCACAACTGACATGCATTTGACGAACTGGGTCTTTGCCCACAAAAGCTAATGCTCCAGTATATCAGTTCGTCTATAAGGTGCCACAGGACTTCTCATACGTTATCAGTGGCTGTGTCTCCAATTTTGGTATGTATGGTGCTGACAGATGTCTAGATATACCCTCACTGTTCAGAACATAGAATGGCCATACTGGGTCGGACCAAAGGTCCATCCAGCCCAGTATCCTGTCTGCTGACAGTGGCCAGTACCAGATGCCCCAGAGGGAGGGATCATAACAGGTAATCCTCATGTGATCCTTCTCCTGTCATCCATATCCAGATAAACAGAGGCTAGGGACACCATTCCTACCCATCCTGGCTAATTAATGGCCATTGATGGACCTGACCTCCATGAATCTATCTAACTCCTGTTAAAGTCCTAATCTACACAACATCCTCTGACAAGGAGTTCCACAGGTTGACTATGCTCTGAGTGAAGAAAAATTTCCTTCTGTTTGTTTTAAATCTGCTGCCTGTTAATTTCATTTGGTGACCCTTAGTTCTTATAGTGTGGGAATAAGTAAATAACTTTTCCTTATTCACTTTTTCTACACCAGTAATGATTTTATAAACCTCTATCATATCCCTCCCCCCTTAGTCTCCTCTTTTCTAAGATGAAAAGTCCAAGTCTTTTTAATCTCTCTTCATATGGGACCCATTTCAAACCACTAATCATTTTGTTGCTCTTTTCTGAATCTTTTCCAATGCCACTATATCTTTTTTGAGATGAGGCGACCACATCTGTATGCAGTATTCAAGTTGTGGGTGTACTATGATTTTATACAGAGGCAATAAAATATTCTCCGTCTTATTCTCTATCTCTTTTTTAATTATTCCTAACATTCTATTCACTTTTTTGACTGCTGCTGCACACTGGATGTTTTCAGAGAAGAATCCACAGTGATCCCAAGATCTCTCTCTTGAGTGGTTGTAGCTAAATTAGTCCCCATCATATTGTATGTATAGTTGGGATTATTTTTTACAATGTGCATTACTTTAAATTTATCAACCTTAAATTTCATTTGCCATTTTGTTGCCCAATCACTTAGTTTGGTAAGATCTTTTTGAAGCATTTCACAGTCTGCTTCGGTCTCAACTATCTTGAGCAGTTTGGTATCATCTGCAAATTTTTCCACCTCACTGTTTACCCCTTTCTCTAGATCATTTATAAATAAGGGTATGTCTAAAATACAGAGCTTTTCTGGGATACGTCTCCTGGAAAAGTTCTGTTGCATCCAAGGAATATGTCTGCTTTTCTGAAAATTTTCCAGAAAGCAGACGCATTTTTTCAGCATCCCAAAAATATCCCAGGATATTCCAAAAGAGGGTTTTTTTTCTGACATTTAGCCCTGTGTAGATGGGCCAAATGTTAGAAAAGCCTCTTTCAGAAGAAAAGCGGAAAAAGATATGTAAATTGTGGTTCACAATTTGCGTATCTTTTTCCGACTTTTCTTTGTAGTGTAGACATAGGCTAAGTAGAATTGGATTGGTCCCAGGACAGACCCTTTAGGGACACTCTGAAAAATTACCATTTTTGTTTCCTGTCTCTTAACCAGTTATGAATCCATGAAAGGACCTTCCCTCTTATCCCATGACAATTTACTTTACTTAAGAGCCTTTGGTGAGGGACCACGTCAAAGGGTTTTGGAAATCTAAGTATGCTATATCGACTGGATCCACCTTGTCTACATGTTTGTTGACCCTCTCAAAGAACTCTAGTGGATTAGTAAGGCACAATTTCCCTTTACAGAAACCATGTTGACTTTCCCTCAACAAATTATGTTCATCTAT